GTCCAAAGCACGTGGAAAGAAGTCTCGCCATTCTTGCCTCTAAGGACCATCCTGCCTGTACTTCTCCCGAGACAGATTTGTTTGCACTTTTGGTAGTCCGTGGTACTTTTCAATATTTTTCATCAGCAACATAATTCAACTTACTTTTTCTTCAGTCGTCCTTATTCAGGGTGGTGGACTTCTCAGCCCATAAACAGTAAAGCTGAATGCTTTAGGTGGGAAGCTGGTTTTTGGAGTGGGGTGCCTCAGGGCACTTAACTGTGGGACTAGCTGACCTATGGAAGCGAAGCCAAGTGCCTTTGGGTTGCAACTTACTACAGTGGGGTGACTTGGATCCTTAATTAACAAAGCTGGATTTGTGACTCTCAAGGCTGGAGCTGAATGCCTTCAGACTGAGGCTTAAAGCAGAGTGGCATGTCCTTGGGGCATTTGTTAGCAGCCCTGAAAGAACACTGTAATGTGTCCTAACAAAAATCTCTATCCTGAGCATTTCTCACTTGCATTACAACCTGTCAACTTCTTAATAAACCCTTTAATCATGAATAATGCCTGTGAGTTCTGTGTAAGCATTGCAACTAATATTAGAAACTAGAAGAAAAGTATAGCATTATGTAGATCAGATCACGACTCTAATTGTTTTCATCAGCCTTAGTGGACTAAAATAATTTATATTTGCCTTTGGTTTTTCACTTAAAATGTATTCTATAACAGGTATTTTGATTTGCCAGTACTTTTCCTCCCAATGGCACAAAGCATTCTACTACATGAATGCACAAAATTTATCTGCACTATTTATTTTGGTAAATACTTGCTTCTTAAGTTTTACATCATTTATTACCACAGTTTTGTTGTTGCCAGTGTTTGACTGACACTTTTCCTTGGAAGCTCAATCTGACGGAAGATGAGGAATAAAAGACTGGTAACTAAGCAGGATGAGGGCTTTCCTGGAGAAGCACCAGGAATATGATGTGTTATGCAAATGTGTAATTAGCAAGTCATTCTTTAGGTGAAGACCTGGAGTTGTGATCACTATGAGAACAGAAATGGACATGAAGGCAAAGGGGAAAAGCTGGAAGCTCGAATGTTAAAAACATTTATTATATGTAAATCAGAGGGTGATGGAGATGGAAATGCTGTCAGAGGATGACGATAGTCTATCATCAGTATACACACTATGCACACAATAAACAATCACTTGAAAATATAAATACAATCTTGAAGAAAACACAAACTTGCTGCCATGAAGTTCATGCTGACTCGCAGCAACCCCCTGGAGGGTCCTGAGCCAGGAGCTGTTTAGAAGCGTACAATCCCAGTCCTGCTCCTGACCAGTGGTGGTGGTTTCCGACGACCAGCCACTCACACTACAGCCCAACACAGGTGTTCATTTGTGTGCATGGCTATGTGTGTGCTTACCTCTTTGTTTAAATGTATATGTAAATGCAAGCATATAAAAACTTAGGGAAAATCTTGGAAAAGTGAAATATCCATGTTAAGTATATATAAAAGATACAATACATAAATTTTATTTTCTAATATTGCCCCCATATTTCCCAATTTTTAAAATAAACATCGCACTTTTAGTAAGAAATAAAATACTATTAAAGAAAAACAACTCTTCATAAAGCTGCTATGAGTTTACTTTCACTTTTTATGACATATTTGCTGTCTCTTTGGAAAAGTAAAATTCTTACATTAAGAAGATATTCAAACCTTCTCAATATGTGTGCCTTAGATTTCAACCTAAACGAGTGAAATTTAGAGAGATGCTGAGTGCCATCAAAAGAAAAAGAACTAAATACAAAAATAGTAAAAAAAAAATCATAACTATATTGATAAGTATGTCTAGGAGCAAGACCTTCCCTCAGGTTGATACTTACTTGTTTGCTTTCTTAAATTAGATGTCTTATCGGGAAACAAAGGACCAAGCCAAGAGGGCTCGATTTTTCCCATGCAAAACCCTCCAAGGCAGATGCTGTTATTGGCCAGGTCCAGGGCAAGTCTCCGTAAGAGCAGACTGATGACTTGACTGTCCCCTTTCCCGATGCTGATCGACAAGGCTTTCCGCACATCCTGTTCACGGGGTCCACTCTTCACTAACAGCTCCACCAGCTCGGGGCTGCTTTCTTTCTCACACACCTAGGGCAGAAGAAGGCAAGTAGATCAAACACCTATTCTGCTTTCTTGTAAAAATGGCAATTGGAAGCTGTTTTGATGTTTCTCCATTCCCTTCAAATTAGATTACAGCAAATTGACACACAAGGCAAAATGACCCTTGAAATAGACTGGGGAAATAAAATAAGATTAATCCCACAAATATCAGAGTAGCAAAAAGCAAATAGGGTGTCACCTGCGAGTCATCATGAAAGAAGTGACGTGAGGAATAAAAGCTTGTGGACCTGGGGTAAGAAGGTCTCGGTGAGGCGCCAACAAGTACACTAGCTGCTTCTACTCCTAGGCTTCCACAGGCACTTTGAAACACATCTGAGAAACTGCCTTTTACTCAATGCAGAAAATACTACTTCTCTTCATCTTTGATACAGAAAAAAATGACCGTAAGATGTCACAGACTCGCATAATGTCGTGTACAGAAGATACTCATTATACACTTCGGGGTTTCTTGAACTCGTCAAGGCAACAATCTAAATTTCCACAAAGAAGGGCCTTACATCTCAATTTTCTGCCATCGTCTGAATTTTGTTTCTAGGGCATGTGCTCCGAAAGAGCCAGTACTTACGCTTGGTACCACAAACACTAGAGGGTGTATAACTAGCAGAGACACCTGAATAACTAATAGAAGAGCACACTAGCCCCACACAGGAACAGTTTACTGAAATGTAATAGAACGATGATGTTTTTCAACTCCAAGTTGAAAGTAATGGATAACAGAAATATTATATGCCAGATATTGTACTATATTCCATAACACAGGATTTCTAATCCTCATAGAAATCCTATAATAAAATTTTTTAACATGAAACATTTTAAAAAGATATGAAATCTGTTCAAACCGAAAAAGACTGATGTAAAGCCAAACCTACGGCCCCAGAGCCAGGGACGAAGGCAGGGGAAGACACCCAGGGCCTGCTTGGGTCTGGCACCAAGGGTATCAGGGGAAAGAGAGAAGAAGGTTGTGGCCAATTAATTCCCTGAATTAAAGGGAATTCCAGAGCTAAAGTATGTCCGAGGGATTTGGAAGGGAAACCTTGCTGTGGTGATTGATACCCACTGCTGGACTGCTAGTCTCAACCACTTTTCAGAAATAGTATACCTTCTAATATAGATGTGATCAATTCACTGCCTTGTTGTACGGTTTTTTAAAATCCCTCTTATTCAGGCCACTCCTCAAAACACAATACATATTTTCTCAAAATGTGTAACCTTCTTATATGTTACTTCTGTTGCCCTAAATCTCTTTCTCAGCTCTTCGGCCACCAAAAATATGTTTATTTGTGAAGAACAGCTTTATAGCCTCTTATACTGGAGAGTCCATGCTTCGGACTCCCCAGTGTTACACAAGTCCTTCGTCTTTCAGGCTCAGCTTATTGAAGTGCAATAGAATGGGAAGCTAGTTTAGCTTAGCACTTTGCACACTCAACCAGTCATGTGTCTGGTTTTTCTACACTAGAATGTAAAAGCACGGACAATAGCAATCCAGTGTGTATTCCTGTAGCCTAGCACAATGCCTGGGAAATTAATACAACTAGAAAATCACTAAAACTCTTCTTTAAATGCCCAAAGGGAATTTAGTGGAAAGAAGGTCCTAGAGGTCATCTTTCAACTAAACAACAGGTTGCTTCTTGAATTAATCAGCAAGTACTGAACTCTTAAAAAAGTATCTATATGAGACCAGCTGGCAGTAGTTACCATAAAGAAACATGAACAAGAATGGGTGGCCTAGGGACAGAGAAGTTATTGAATAGAAATGAAAATAATAAGAATGCTGACACAGTTTTAAAAATATAACCATTATAATAGAACATATACAATACAAAGAAAAATATGTTTGCCGTGTAAATTTTCACCAAAAATACAATAAAATGTTATTTATAACAAAAACCCAAAGACATGAAGAAAAAAAAGGAGCACAGAAAAAAAGATGGAAGCAAGGAAGAGACAAAGTTGAAAACTCAATCACATGAGTGGTCATCAAAGACACAACTATTTGTCTCTACCATCTGGGGCAAAGAGAAAGAAGGAAACCCAAGGTTCACAGAAGGGGCTGTTTTAAAAGTCTAATTATCTACACTAAGAACCACTGCTTCCTCCACCCTAAGAGCAGAACTAGATGGTGCCCAACTACCACTACCGAAACTTCTGATCAGCGATAAAATAGATGGATCCTTATAAAAAAGAGAGAAAACTGTGGGGCCAAAGTTAAAACTATCCAAAAATTTCAGCTATCAGACCAGTTGAGTCAGTAGGATTACCCAAGACTATTGCTCTAAAATAATCTTTAAACCTTGAACCCAACATATCTGAAGTTAACTTTTAGATAAATAGCAAGTGAACTCGTAAAGAAAAGAATGCTATCCATGGGTATCACTCACTGCCATCGAGTTGATGCTGATCCTTAGCAACCCTATAGGACAGGGTAGATTTGCGTCTTGAGTTTCCAGCACTGTTGACGGAAGTAGAAAGCCTTGTCTTTCTCCCATGAGTATCAGACTCCTTTAAAAAATCATCTACATGAGACCATAGGGTCAACCACCATCTAGGCAAAGATGATATGATTGAGGGCCAGTGAAACTAAAACTCATTGCCATTGAGTGGATGACAACCCATAGTAACCATACAGGATGGGGCATAACAGCCTGTGGGCTTTCAAAATTATGGAACTCTTTATGGGAGTAGAAAGGCCCATTAGGAGCCAAATGCATACTGTACTATGGCCCCAGGGCTCCTCCTTGGGAGAACGAAAACAGAAATAATGAGCATAATGTGAAGATTGTAAATAATGTTACTGAAAAATACATGTAAAAATTGTTGAAGGAAACTTGTTTTGCTGTGTATACTTTCATCAAAATATTACAAAATACTTTTAATTCAACCACAAATGCATTCTTCTATGGTCCAATCAAATATTATCTCCAAGTCAGAGTACTTACTTTTGACCTTGCACTAGGGTGATCTGTTTTATCTCCTTCCCTGCCTCCTACACATATAAACAAACACACACTTAGAAAGAAACTAGCTTGAAATATAAAACACTTTTTATGTTTCCTACTTGTATCTAATACTATTGTATTAGTCTTGCTTCCCTAATAAGAACTGTAAGGTAGAGGACTGGTTTGTTGTTGTTGTTCTTCAACATTCTCAAAAAATATTAACAGAATGACCTGCTTTCAAATATTCACAATAACAACTAACTAAATTATGTAGGAGGAAATAATTTAATTATCATTAGTAATAGAGAAGCATCTTTCTTAAAAGTTGTTTCATTAAAAGAAATTTGACTAAACTTAAATAATTTAATTATTCATTTTGTTTTCACATCAGCACAATAGTTCATGAAAATGAGTTTGTTTTTAATGCCAATTCTTAATTCATTCTAATGGACTCTCACAGCTAATAAATCTATTTGAATCCACACTCTGGCAAATAAGAAATTAAATAAATTAAGATTTAAGGAGTAAATTTCTCAAAAATACAATAGTTTTAATTACTTAATAATATGTATAAAATCTACATAGGCACTATGTTAAAATATTATTAAATTTCTAGAAAATATTTTTGGTTCTGCCTGCATGCCAATATAAATTTTAAGTTCTATAAAATTAAGACAAATCTGAAATACAGGTAATGCAGTTTAGAGAGAAGTTTGTTCAATATATCTTTTAGATAAAATTATAAATTAGATATCTTGAGGTACACAAAGATGGAAACTGTACACTTCTTATAGTGACATAATTCATACAATCTAAAACAGCGGTTCTCAACCTGTGGGTCATGACCCCTTTGGGAGTTGAACGACCCTTTCACAGGGGTAGCCCGATTCATAAAAGTAGCAAAATTACAGTTATGAAGTAGCAGCGAAAATAACTTTGTGGTTGGAGGATCACCACCACATGAGGAACTGTAAGAAAGGGTCACGACATGAGGAAGGTGAGAACCACTGATCTAGAAGGAGAACATGACTGAACGTCGTGGGCTTTATAGAAGTCGTACTTCTTAACTTTGTTTGGGAGGTTGGAGACTTGAAAAAGGCTCTATTAAGAAGAGCAAACGTTTACTAGACTGAAGGAAGTAGAGAGTGTTGATCAAGTAGGTACATATTCTCATGTTACCAGAGGAAAAAGAGAGAGAGAAATCAGGGCCACAGTGTTTCACAACATACAAACGAAGGAAAACAGGGTGCCTTTGATCCCCTTTAGACTGATGGTAACCCCCTATGTGTTTCAGTAAGACTGTACTCCACTGTGTTTTCAGTGGTTGATTTTCTTTTGGAAGGTAGATTACCACACCTTTTTGAGGGGCTTTCTTTAAAGTGCCGCTAGGTGAACTAGAACCTTTTGGTTAAAAGCCAAGCTGATTAACCATTCTCACCACCAGAGAACTGTATGCACAACTTCGCAGAGGGGCAATAACAGGGATGCCCCTATGAAAGGTGCCCATAAAAGTGTGCAGAGCACAAGCAGTGTGATCACATGTGGTTGTCCGGAAGGGAGCACTTCCTAGGCAGAGAAACTGGTGCAAAACGGAAAACAGCCACAACCGTGGAGTCAGTCCAACTCGTAGCATGCTACAGGGTTCCCAGAATAGAAATCCCGATGGGACCACATACGGCAGCTTCATCTTTCTCCTGGGAGCAAACTGGGGGATTGGTCAGCTCACTCTGGGGGTCAGCAACCTAATCCCTCACCTACAGCACCACTTAAAACTGAGAACAAATGCTTCCCAAAAACATTGGGAAGAGAGATGCATATAAAAAGATAGTTAGGGAGATGCGTAAAGTGAAGGATTTGACTGGATAATGCCGACTCTATTACCTTTGAAATTCTGACTGTAACTTAAGCCATTGTGCAATAAACCAGTAAGCTCATAAGTAAAGAATAATGAAATGTCTGTACACAATCAATGGCTGAGTCAAGTCATGGAGAAAAACAACGGTGAGGCCTTGGATATTTACCTGACAAATTAAGGAAGTTGATTCCTTTGCTTGATTCGCATCAGCTCCCAAGAGAAGCAAGCATTCGACCATGATGCTGTTATTCTGATCGCAAGCTTTCTCTAGCATCACACATTTTAACTCATCATCCATAGTTAGTTTTGCAAAGCACTTGCAACAAAGATTTAGAAACTAAAAATAAGAGTGAAAATGAATATTAGATCAGTAAGATATGAAGAAAAATTTTAAAGTATTCTTCAAAGTTATAGAAATCTTTATTTAGCAGAAATATCAAATTATGAAGCTAGTGTTTCTCAATAGATCCTCCATCTCTGTCTATACACTTCTGAAGGCGAGTTTTCATCTTCTAACCCCTCCCTGAAAAATTCAGTGTGATTTCATTCATATCATATAAACATGGCAATTTCAGTTCCCTCAAAGGACTTAAATTGTGTTCCTTTTACATGTTTTTTGCATATCGGGAACAAAATGAAGTTTTCACTGGAAAGACCAGGGCGGTATGGGGAATGGGATTGTGGTTCACAATAAAATTCCCATACATCAGCCTTTGCTGCCCCGGAAGATTGAGCAGGAGTATTGTCATGATGGGAGAGCAATTCTCATCTCAACTTTCCTGGCCTTTTTCTCACCACTGCAGTGTTCAATTTCTTAAGACTTTTCCTATTACACTCTTGGGATTGTGCTGGGTCCTTCAAGAAAATAGATCAAGATTACTCTTTATGAATCACCAAAAACAGTCACCATAACTTTTGAACCTATCTTGCTACCTTGAGTTTAATTGGCATAGGAAATCACTTGCTTTGCTCGTACGTTTTTATTTAAGGCACCCTAACAAGACCAAGACAAGTGTGTTACTGTGGGAACTTATCTGAAGCTGACCAGTGATGGCAGAGCCACGTTTAAACACATTTTATGTGGAATAGAGCTGTGAGTATGAATTTTAACCTTTGAAACAATATTTTTATTTACTTCATATATAACATTTAGCATACTTCTGAAAAACACATAGTACCTGTTGATCTTTTTGTTCTGTGATACTGGAAGACATCTGATAGAATATTACTGAGTCAAATGAATAATGCACCAACAGCTTGGAAAAAGATACCGACAATTCAAGTATTGCCAGGATTGTCTGAAATCCCTGAAAGTACAATAAAAATTATAAATAACATAAGCTATTTGTGACATGAATGAATGACACAAAACAGGTTGTAGTATGAATAGTATAAAGCAGAGATACTTAAAACCTTATATTTACTTAACTAAATAGATAGACTTATTGAGTTTGTTATTTAAAGTTATAAATGTTGAAATAACCCTGAAATTATCCTTTCTCTCTCATCATTAAGGACTATAGTAGACAGAGAATAAAAAGATAATTAGGAAATCATCTCCCAGAAAAACAGTGAAAAACTTGCTCCTCTAAATTTTTGTTTTCAAAGACTCCTGCTTGAGCCAATCCCCACAGAACGAAAAGCAGTTATTGGTCAGACCAGAGCAGCAGAGCCACAGAAGCGCATTGAGCAGGAGAATCAAACATCTATTCCAAAACTTCATGTCAGATTCTCCAGATAGGCCAGTACTTTCCCAAATTTCTTCTGTTTCTTATAAAATCTTAACTTCAAAGGGAGCGTGAGAGCCTAGCCTGCTGAGTACGTGTGGAAGAAAATCTGGGAGCACTCCAAGGTTTACATTTTTATAGAAATAACTCACAGAAAACTTATCAGTCATCATTGGAGAAACACCACAAGCACATCCCCAAGAGTTGTCTGGGATCTCCAGGCAGGTGATCTTTTAAAGAATGAAAGAAATTTTGACTAAAGCACGAGAGGGTTTCAAAGTGTTTGAGGAAAATGGAATGATAAGATAATGGAATTTTTCCACAAACTTTTTGAAGCTGCGGTATTGTTCTGCCTCAGTAGCTTAGTGAGTTACGAGCTGGGTTGCTACCCACAGTCAGTAGTTCAAAACCACCAGCTGGTTCTGGATCCTACTTGGTGGAGCCACCAGGGTCCTCTCCCTCTGCTATAGAGATCCTAAGAGTTACACATGGATAAATTGATCCAGAAATATTGAGGCTTCTACTTGTGGTGAAGTGCTATCACGTAGATTTCAACTCACAGTGACCAACTCATGGTACAACAGAACCTAACAGTGCCCAGTCCCACACACGTTGCAACCACTGTGTCAACCCATCTCCTGGAGGGTCTACCTCTTTCTCACCGACCATCGACTTTATCAAGCAGGACGCCTTTCTTCTGGGGCTGCTACCTCCTGATAACACGGAGTCTCACCATTTTAGCTTATTAAAAACAATACCGTCATCAGGTCACCCCAACAATCCTATATAGGGGCTCTGAGGCTATAAATCTTCACACAGCAGAAAGCCTCCTCCTTCTCAGGTGCGATTAAGGAACACCACAATCAAAAGCATCGGTTCTCCTCTGATTGCACTTATTCACTGTCTAGCTGTCACATGGGGCAAATGAGATGATTCATGAGTAATGATACTCGGGCTTGAATCAGGCACTTTAACTCTCAACGGGCTACCTGTGCTTTTGCAGCAGATTCGCCCAATACAATACGTTTTGTTTTGTTTGTTTTCTAGGCTGCTGCTTCCAGTAGTGTTCCAAGTTAAATGTGGATACAAGTTAAATGAAATCCTTGACAACTTCAATCTTTTCTGTTTATCATGATCCTGCTTATGGTTCCAGTTGTCAGGATTTTTATTTCTTTTAATTGAGTTGTAATACATACTTTATCAGTAAATGCCATTTCAGCAAGTAGGATTGTATCATCTGCATATTACAGGTTGTTGATAAGCCTTCCTCCAATCCTGATGCTGGATTCTTCTGTATATAGTCCAGCTTCTTGGATTATTTGCTTAGCACACACATTGAATAAATACAGCGAAAGGAGACAAGCCTGATGTATATTTGTTTTTTTGTTTGTTATTTACTGTAAACCATACAGCAGCCCATGTTCTCTTTGAGACAACTGCCTGCTTGGACCATGTACAGGTTCTGAGTGAATACAATGAGGTGTCTAGAACTCTCATTCCTCTCCATGCTACCAGGTTTGCTAGGGTACAAACAGTTGGATTCCTTTGTGTAGGCAATAGAACACAGGTGAACATAGTTCTGATATCCTCTGCTTTTAGCCAAAATCCATCTGGCATTAACCGTTGGCTTATGCTGAATCTTGCTTTGACACCTGCCAGTTCCCTCTTAAAGCACTGCTGTAGCCCTTTTTGAATAATCTATAGCAAAATTTTCTTTGTGTGTGACACTAATGAATTTTTCTTATTATTTCCACATTCTGTTGGATCCTTTTGGGGGAGGAGGAGATGGGAACAAGTAGAAATTTCCATACTTGTGAACTCCTTTCCCTGGGATTACATTTGATCAATTTTACCTGGACTTTTGTTAACTTAGATTGAAGCACATGGATTAACATGGATTTATAAAACCCACTGTTTCTTTTGAGAATCGCTGGTAGGATAATGGGTTTTACATTAAGCTGCTCAAAACAAGGTCAGCAGTTGGAACCCAGTAACTGCCCCGTGAAGAAAGATGAGGCTTTCTGATCTTGTGAGGATTCACAGCTTCAGAAACCACACGAGTTCGACTCTAGGGTTGTTATGAGGTGAAGTCAGCTAGATGGCAGGGACGTTGTTTTTTTGTTTGTTTGTTTTGTATTGTTTCTTTTCATCTATAAGTTTTTGCTGTTGCCCAGCATTTAATGATGAAAAAAATATCTTTACACACATTGTTTCAATTACTAAGAATATCTGAGCAGAGACTAGATACCATATTTTTTTCCCCAGTCAATGATGCCATTTATGACAATATTTCTTGATAGAGAAATAATTTGTTTGGTTGACATAAGAAAGTCTGGAATACTTATTCCTTACCCCTTCCTGAATTAACTAACTTTAGATTAAATCTTGCATTCCTTATAAGAACTTTTAGACTTTTATACCACATTTAAACTTTTGCCTGATGAAAAATGTTAAAAAATATTTGATTCACTGAAAAAAAAAAAGAAAATCAGAAGGCCATTATTAAAAGTAAGTAACCTTTCTAATAACATAAGTACACAGAGAATTGCAAACTTTTGAATAATTTAAAGTTTTATTTATCTAAAATCTAAGAGCATAAAACTCAGCTTGTTGAAATGCCATTCTCTGCTATTTTATAGAAAAGACAAAGATAAACAAACATACTGATTTTAGGGATTTGATTATGAAACTCAGGATCTTTAGAGATTCGATTCAATCCTCTTCACCTTCTGTAATTAAAATATGATGACATGCTAAATGGCTTTGCGCTAACCAGAAGACCACCAATGATGATAATGGGAGTTGTAAACGGCTCTGAGAAAGAAAGATGCACAAGCCCCTCAATTGCTTCACAATTGGGCACATACACTCATCTGCACTTCAGCCACATCCTGAAATCGGTGCAAACTGGAAACCAGGATCTTGGCCAGCAGGTGTCCAGTTCCTATGCGCAAATTCTTCTTTATAAAAAGACATCCTAGGAGGCTTAAACCCAGACACTGAATTTCTAGAATAGGAGAAAAGAATAGACAATAGTAATATTTTAAACCTTGAAGAAAATATTAAAGATACTTAATTAACAACTAACACTTGTAAAAACATACTCTCGATTTATAATTTAAATTGTGCCGACCTTGGTCATCTGGATACATCTGCAGTGTGTGAAGTACCGAGTCAATAGCACCTTCGAGGGACAATATTTCTAATGCATCAGGACAATGTGCCACAGATGAAAGGACTTTTAATCCACATTTCTGAATTCCAGGATTTCCAATGAACTAAAACCAAAAGGATATTTAAGACAATTTACTGTTAAAAATGAGATCTTAATACTTAATTTAGTCAAATAATAGTTATAGACTGATAAAATATAAATCAGAAAGCCCAAATATAAATTAGGATCCTTGACGCTCCTCTCTTCTAGATAACTATTTTGATTTACTATTAGTGGTAAGAGTTATCATTTTAATGTAGATTCAGAATCTGTTCTGTGGGAAGCACTGTGCAAAATTTTGCACTATCTTTACACAGCAATCTCACGAAATATGAGTGTAGGTCAAAAAGTATTGCTTTAGATAATAGAAAATGATTAAGCAAGAATGTAAAACATGTGAAGCTAATGTTTCCCAACATATGTTGATCTAGGCATTCTTGAAGTTTATGTTCCATATCTCTACTCCTTTTCTGAAGAATTCTGGGATCTTTGATTTTCCACATCAAAATACTTTGGGCATCTTTGAGGGATTCAAATTGTGTTTCCTTTTAAAATGTCAAGTTTGGGAAACAAAAATAAGCCTGAAGGTTCAGGATCTGGGCTGTAGAGTGAACGGAGAAAAATTCCCCAATGAAATGCTTATAAGACAGCCTTACTACCCTTGAAGAATGAATAGGTGCATTATCATGATAGAAAAAAACCACCCTGGCCTTTTTCTTACCAATACAGCTAATTTTGAATTTTCTGTTTCATAAGATGCCTCTGATATTTTGACTGGCCCAGCAGATGCCCTCAGAAGCCACCATTTCAATTGAAAATATAACCTAAAAGTTGGTGTTTCAAATCCAGCAACCACTTAGAGGGATAAAGATGAGGTTAATCTGCTCCCATAAAGATTTGCAAAGCCTTGGTTATCCTATATGAGGTCACTATGGTTCAGAATTGACTGACTGTCAGTGGGGTTGGGGTTTGGGGCTTTATTACTCAAGAAAATCTCTGTGAGCATCCACTGATCACAAAGGCATGCTTAAACAGGTTTTGTTTGAAAAAAACCTGTGCACGTGGGTACCGTAATGGCCATGTATACTGAATTACTCTCCTATGTATGAATACTATTTGCATTAGAGATAAATTAACAGAGATTTAAAATCAATAAAAACCTAGCTAACAGCCATTGAATCAATTCTTACACATAGCAACTGTACAGAAGAGGCTACAACTGCCACTGTGGGCTTCAGAGATGCAACTCTTTAAGGGACTAGAAAGACACATTTTTCTCCCTCAGAATGGCTCATGGTTTTGAACCACTGACCTGGTGGTTTGCCACACAATGCACAGCCCACTATGCAACCAGGGTTCCAGCAGAGCTTCAGAGAGGCGGAGTTACTTTCCTAAGTGCCATGTCAAATATAAATGGAAGAGATGCAATCTAAAGCAAAGATGTTTGATCTTGAAGCCTGACGCATAGCCAGTGAAATGGAACCCGGTCACTCATCATAGAAAGTACTAATTGAGGATTTACTCTTTATTCTAAACTCTTTACACGCATTACCTCATTTAGCCCATCAGCATGCAGTGGGTTCTTATAAAGAGAGCTCAATAAACTTTCAAAGTGAGGGAACAGGAGCCCAAGTCACAGTTACTAAGTATCAGAACCATGACTTGAAAATAAATATATGTGCCTTAAAAACCCAGTATCTTAATCAATGTGTGTTTCAACCTCTTTACTCTAAACTTTTTACAGAAAATAAATTTATAAAATTTATAGGTATTCAAGAGTCCTAGGTGGGGCAAATGATAAACACTCTACTACTAACTGAAATGTTGGTGGTTGGAATGAACCCAGACCAAACCCAAACCAAATTCACTGCCACGCAGACGATCCTGACTCATAGTAACCCCACAGGGCAGAGGAGAACTACCCTGTGGGTTTCCAAGACTGCAACTCTCTAAGGGAGTAAAAAGACTTTCTCCTGTGGAGTGGCTGGTGGTTTCAAACTGCTGACCTTCAAACTGTAGCCCAATACATACTACAGGCACCTTGAAAGAAAGGTCTGGTGATTTACTTCTGAAAACTGAGCGATGGAAAATCCTAGGGAGCATAACATTTCTACTCTGACATGCATGAGGTCACCACAAGTTGGAATTGACTTGATTGCTACTAGTTGTGCACAGTACAAGAATTCTACGAAGGCCATTTCTTTTTTTTTCTAGAGGAGAAAAACAGTCAGGGTTTAAAAGACATACATAAATCTAATAGTAGTTAGATTAACTAATGTTCATTAACTAATATAATGTTCATTAACTAATATAAGTAGTTATATTGACTAATGTTCAGCTTACTGTGTGCTAGGAACTGCACTGAATACTTATATGAATGACACAGACTAGAATCCCCATTAAGATCCTAGGAGAAAAAACACAGTTATCTATATTTTATGGTATATATTTATATATATATATTACTTTTATATTTATACATTTAACTTTTCACAAGCTAAAGGTGGCAAAGCTAGGTTCAAATTCTGATTCCAGGCCACACGTTTAGCTTTTAGAAAATTACACATAATTGGGGCTACAAAAGCAAACACTTTACAATAAACTACATTAGGTGATAGGAGATGAGAACATGGAGATACATTAATTTCATCAAAACAGTTCATCACAGCATGTTAGCATGTTTTTAAAAAACTGTCTCTGGTGAGTACTTAATAGTTATGGAAATTTGGGGACTTTTTTCTTAGTAATACATTGGAAGTAATGCATTAGTACATTACTAAAAGTAATACATGCTCATGGAAGCAGTAGTCATTCAAAGGATGCCCTGCATTGGGTAAATCTGCTGCACAAGGTCTCTTTAAAATGTTAAAGAGCAAGAGTGTCACTTTGAGGACTTTGGGTATATATCATACCCAAGCTATTGTATTTTCAACCATCTCATATACATGTGAAAGTTGGACATGGAATAAGGAAGACTGGAGAATTATTAATGCAGTTAAATGATGGTGCTAGTGAAGAATACTGAAAGCACCATGAACTGCCAGAGGAACACACAAATCTGTCTGGGAAGAAGTACAGCCAGAATGTGCCTTAGAAGTAAAGATGGAAAGATATCATCGCACGCACTTTGGGCATATTATCCGGAGAGACTAGTCTTTGGAGAAGGGCATTGTGCTTGGGAAAGTAGAAAGGCAGTGGAACGAGGATGACCTTCAGCGAGATGGATTGACACAGCCCAGGAAACCCCACACTATTGCTGTGAGTCGCAGTTGATTCAAGGGCAGTGGGGTATTTTTGGAATCTCTAATTATATGTTAGCATGAGTCTGTTGGAAACATAGTTTCCTTTGTTTTCCCCAAATGACTGAAGACTTAGCTGTCCCAACATGTTATTGAATAATACGTTTCCCCCAGTGGTTGAGAAATATTACCTGCTAATTCCATATTTGTATTTGAGTGTATTTCCTGATCATAACTATGGCATTAATCTCTCTTCTGGTGCTAGGGTCACAATGTTTTAGCTACTAGTATTTTGTAGTATATTTAGGGTTAATGTACGTTAGGGTTAATTCATATGAACTATCTCTTTATCTCAAAATTCTACAGGTTATCTGTGCATATCAAATTTTTCACAAACATTTTACAGTTAACTAGCTCAGACAAAACTATCAATAGTTTTATTAGAGGCACATAGATGATGTCTACTTAAATTTTTAAAGAATAATTTATTTGCTCTAAAAAGAAGGGCTATGTTTTGATATGTTTAAGTCTTTTGCACCTCAAAGTTGAGTTTAAAATAGCCCTTTAGAAATTTGAGTACTTAACTCATATTCAATGTATCTGTTGTTAACATTGCTTCTTTAAGTGACTCTGTTACTAAATATCACTTACAATTGAATTAAATACATCAATATCTTTTTAATATAGGTGCATTTTGTTTCAAGCTTTTGGACCATCTTCAGTCTCTGATGTGATTCCATTTTAACAATAGATTGATTTTCCTTTACTGGGTTCCCTGGCTGAACACAACAGTAGCATCGATGCATACAAAGCACAGACACAGGCAAAATGTGGGAAGCCTTATTTTGTACTTATTCTCCATAAACAATATGGGGCAGGTTACTGGAAGTTATCATCTTTGTAAAAAAAGCTAAAAGGATCAGGGCATCAGTGGAACAACAATGTTCCAGACAGAGATTTTAAATTCAATATGAATACTTTTGGAATGCTTTCTCCCCAAACATTCATTTGCTTTAACAAATACCTTTCTTTGCTTTTCAAATCAAAGTTGAATGTCAAATTCTACCTTGCTTGAAATTCCACTCTTAAGATGACACTTAATCTAGTGAATGATAATTCATTTCACTGCCTGCAGAATTGGGACTTAAAACCTTTGATGTCTATAAATTTTATTCAATGAGACATGCCCAGAATTTTCTCATTGTTGTTAGTTGCCATCAAGGAAGCTCCACCTCATCTAACCTGTAGAGCAAAATGTTGCCCAGCCTTGTACCATCTTCAGAATTGTTTGTATATCTGAGTCCTTTGTGAAGGATATAGTACCAACCATCTCATTGAACCATGATCCTCGCTTTCACTGACCTTACCCATTTTACCAAATATGAAGTCCTTTCCTATGGATTGGTCTTTCCTGATGACATGGCCAAATGAAGCAGGTTAAATCGCTTCATTCTTACTTCCAAAGAGCATTCTGCTTGCACTTCTTCATAGACTGATTTGTTCATTCTGTTGGTGGTCTATAATATATTTAATATTCTTCACCAATACCACCATTTGAATACATCAATTCTTTTCATCTTCCTTTTTCACGATTCAACTTTAGCGGGTTTATGAAGTCATCGAAAAGACCAGGCTTGGGTTAGGCTCACTTCCGTCATCCTACTGACATCTCAGCTTTTTAAAGCTCTACAAATATCTTGGCAGCAAATTTGCCTACTGCAATGTACTGGTTGATTTCTTCACTGCTATTTCCAGTCTCTGGATTTTAAAGCTACAGGAGTCTCTTACATCTTTCAGGACATTTTTTCTTTGTTATGGTGAAAAAACACAGGAGTAATAATAGGAATCTTCCTGATATAAGATCTTGTCATTCCTGCACCCCTGTGATGTGCCTACATGATAGTGAAAACTCCTCGCCACCAGCTGATAGTCCCTGTGTATGAGTGAGGCATTACTCCAGTGTTATCATGGAACAAAAGGTTGGAGACCCCTCCTCCTAGACAGCAAAACAAAGCTAAAGTCAAATGATTTTTAACCCTTAAAGTTCTTATTGGAAGAACAGGCTGTCGTGACTCCTTCCACGATATCATACTTATGCACAACAACTTTAGAAAATGTTGGTTAACAGTAACCAGTATTATGCATACAGCTCTTCTGCTACTTCTTGTTTTGCTCCAACACATACCATGAACAAAAGTAACTGTTTCTTCTTCTGTGTTCTCAGAATACTGTTCACAAAGCTAGTATGCCTCATAAGTGCTCATGTATAACATCTGATTTTATGCATCTCTGGTACAGGGGTAAATCCACGATGGGCTGTGGACCTGCACAGTCAGCAGTTTGAAAGCAGCAGCCACTCGGCAGGAGAAAGACAGGGCTTTCTACTCCCATAATGAGTCTAGGGAACTCCCAGAGACAAGTCTACCCTGTTTTGTAGGACTGCTATGAGTCGGCATCAACTCGATGGCTGTGAGTTTAGTTTTTGGTTTAGCAATTCCCTAGAGGCAGATTATGAACTCATTCCAGAATAATACCAAGCCGATTAGGTTTTTCTCTCCACTACCTACAACACAGTCTTGGCACATACCTGATTCTCAATCAATACTTGTGGTCTTAAATTTAACCAAATGTATAGCTATATTCAAGAAGCATATTAACGTTTTAGTTTAAACAACTCAAACGTATCATGCAAAAATATAAAGTTCAATTTAAGCTGAATTTGTAAACCTCTCTCTCTGGCAGCTACTTATTAATTCATGTTGGTTTTTTAAGAATACCAAATCACAAGAGATTATTTGCATTAATTACCTTGAATGCTCTCTTCCTGTCAGGCAACATTAACCTTGATTCTTCTTTACATCTTTACTCATATCTGCTAGAAAGACTCAATTCATTTTATGCTAATCCCCAAACTACCATAGTTGCACCAAGACTTTTCACTCTTTAAAGGTTATTTCTGTCTTCTTCTTTTTTCACTCTTAGCAAGATATACTTGTAATTTCAATATATCACAAATATGCATAGATATTTATAGATAGAAGCATAGATAAATGCCTAGAAATGGGAAGGACCCGTGCACACCAAACCATTCCAAAAGTGATTATATGGGAAGAAAAGGATGAAAACAAGCAAAGCATCAAAGTAGAGTCTCTTCCTGTGCCTGTTCAAGGACTGAATCTTTCATCAGAGAAAAGAAAGCTAAAAGCACTGGACAGGAGGACCCAAAGGAAACCTGACAGCCCTCATCAGGCCTTGCTGCAAGTCAGACTTGGCTTTTCTTTCTGATGTGCTGACTTGAGCTCATTAAGTGGTCGGAGGTGCTTGAAATTAAGGAAGCCATGTCTAAACCTGTAGCTGACGATACACTTCACTGAAAGGACTCATCTATTCACTCACATTATTTTCTTAATTAAATACTTTTATTGGGGACTCTTACATCTCTTATCACAAGCCATACATTCATCCAGTGTCAAGCACATTTCCACACATGCTGCCATCATCATTTTCAAAGCATTCTCTTCCCACTTGAGCCCCTGATATAAGCTCCCCATTTCTTCCCTCTCCCTCTCCCTCTCCCAGCCACCCTCCCTCAAAAACCCTTGATAAGTTACAGATTATTATTTTCATATCTTACATCATCCTCCATCACCCCTCACCCCCTTTTCCATTGTTCGTCCCCGAGAGGGGATTATAGGTTGATCCTTCTGATCAGTTCCCCCATTCTCTCCCCATTCCCCACCCCCAACCCTCCTATAATCCTCCTAGTATCTCTACTCTCATTGTTAGTTCTGGGGGAGTGGGGGGTTATCTATCCTGGATACCCTGTGTTGTGGGCTCTTGTCTGTAGCAGTGTGCATTTTCTGGTCTAATCTGATTTGTAAGGTAGAACTGAGGTCATGATAGTGAGGGGGAAGGAAGCACCAAAGAATTAGAGGAAAGTTGTGTGTTTCATCGGTGCTGTACTGCACCCCGACTGGCTCATTTCTTCCCTGTGACCCCTCTGAAGAGGGATGTCCAACTGTCTGCAGATGAGCATTGGTTCTCCACTCCATGCTCCCCACCCCATTCACCTTGGGTATGATTTTGTTCTGGGTCTTAGATGCCTGGTACCTGATCCCATCGACACCTCATGATCACACAGGCTGGTGTGCTTCTTCTATGTGGGCTTTGTTGCTTCATAGTTAGATGGCCACTTGTTTATCTTCAAACCGTTAAGATCCCAGACACTATATCTCTTGATAGCTGGGCACCATCAGCTTTCTTCACTGCATGTACTTATGTACCCATTTTGTCTTCAGCACTCACACTATTTTCATTGTGGTAGCTCTAACCACATAACTTCTTACTATCACAGTAAAATGAGGTCTGAAAACTAAAAAATCTCTCCCAACTCCCCAAATTAAAAAACATTCTAAGCCTTGCCATAATGCAGAATGTCTCGCAAAGTGGACGGTTGCAGATGAAGTTAGACTACAATTCAGCACCTTATCATTTGATCTCCCTTATGACACATTGATATTTGTTCTACTTTTTTAAATGTTCTACTTTCTTGTCTGTTGAGGTTTTAATGTGTTTTACTTTGTTATTGCTGCATAGTTTTGTTTGTTTGTGTTTGTTTTTTATGATTTTCTGCATATGAAATCCAGGCTAGGTAGATCTCTAAGGACAGTGACTGGACTGACGGTTCCTGAGAGCTCTGGCAGGGGACATGGGGCGTGGGGAACTAATATTGATGAATACAAAAATGAAGGGAAAGTTCTAGAACTGACTGTGGAGGTGATTGTATAACTCTTCTTGATGTAATTCAACCATTGAATGGTATGATATGTGAATTATAGGCCAATAAAAGTGTTGGGGAAGGAATTCTAGTTCCAGCATAAACTCAAAAGGCCTATTTGCAACATACCCTATTTAAAGCTGCCAGGACCAGTTTGTGGATATCACTCCGGAAGCATTGTTTTGTAACCGTACTCAGCTTGTGCTGTGATTCAGCACCCTCCCTGGATCCTTCTGGCATGCCTACGTGCAAAAACAAATGCATAAAGAAGTCAATGAATAAATTGGTAAATTAATGAATATTTTCTCATAAACATTGAAGCTCAAAAGATCCTCACTTACAGAACTGATCCTACTTAACAAACCATATAACTATAGTACATTGCCTAGAATGTAGTTGCAATCACAAAAATAATCCCTATAGATTTCTATGGAATTTCAGCACTGAAAATAAATGCAGTGTATCTATGAATGCTTATGAATTTAAAGTAGCAAGAATTTACCAGGATGGAAGAATTTTCTGTAACAGACGCTATTTTTTTTTTGAGTGGGTTATGGCTTAAGAAATTGGAAGATTTTCATGCAACAATGGACAATTTGAAAAAGCTGAGTTATGTGGGCAATGAAAAGGTCACATGAATGCAGGCTAAAATAGCAACTGGATGGAACAGTAGAAAACACTGAGATTTGCGTTTCAGTATTAGGATGGCAAAGAGCATGTTGTTTATTATTTAAAGACCTCTGAAAGGCTGTACTGGTATAAAGTTCTATAAAGGAAACATACTCCTTATTCAGTTACATTATAGATGAACTCTGTTAAAACACTGAAGAAACTAGAAGTTGAAAAAAATCAGTGTTACTGTAGACCATTATTGCTATTGTAGGGTGCTGTCCGGTTGGTCTCAATGTGTGGGGACTGAGTTGAATTTCCCGATATGGTTTTCTTGGCGGTAGTCTTTAAAAAGCAGACCTCCAGGTCTGACAAACATTTTGAGTTTTTCATATTGTTCGTTATTATTTTAGTTACAGAGGATAATAAGTGGATTTTTAACACAATTGTCATACTCCCGAGTCTCTTGCCTAAGTAACTCGATTCTTCCTGTAGCACTTATCATTGTGGTTTTAGATCCCTATTCAATCTCCTCTATAAACTTCTTCGAAATCTTCTTTCTTAATGAATTTTTACTTATTGCCTCCAGAATTGACACTAAGAGAAGAAAGAATGGTCAACAGATATTTCATATAACCCGCTGGGAAATTTGATTAAAATAATTGGATCTTTTTTATTACTTTATAAAAGCAATTAGGTCGATCTCTTCAATAAGTTAGTGAGATAGAAAAGCAGAGAGTGGGCAGCAGTAGATTGAAAGAGATTTCAGAACTGCAACACCAGATGCGCTGTGAGTTCTGGATTTGTTTCTGAATTAGATGAATTTGCTTTTATGCTCGCCTCTGTTACAATTAAGAAAACCTGACTACGGTCTAGTGAAAATCAGTAAACATGTACTCAAGTACGTTAAAGACACCTAAACTTAGCATGCCCAAACCAAAAATGACATCCAACCTCAAAACTATGGGAATAGTGATAGCATCCTATTCACTGGCTTACAGTGATATGGTATGGTGTGGCATGGTGTGCTGGGCTGGGCTGGGCTGTGGTGTGTTGTGGTGTAGGCACCAGGAGAAAGTACATGAATAAATGTTTACTCATCAAGAAATATATTCATATTCTGATGTTTATAAACTGTATCTGTATACTGTTATGAACTTATATACTAATACATTTCTAAAATGTGCCCATACATAAAGTATGTGTATAATAATACAATAATGAAATTATTATCAAGGTTACTTGTAATCTAAATTATTATTGGCCATCAATATTTTTTTTTATTTTACTTAAGTAAAATATATTGTTTTATATCCATTTTCTGAGGCTGTAAATCTTTACAGGAACTGATAGCCTTAACGTTCTCTCACAATAAAGGAGTCAGTGGGTTTGAACTGCCAACCTTGTAGTCAGCAAGCAACCCAACACTTACCGGACATCAATACCAGGACTCCTTTTAATCAATATATTTTTAGTTACTTTAGTGATTTAATTAGTCCTCAGAACATTCTTTGAGTTGCTGTAGGATCAATTTGAAATAGTAAAAGAAAAAAATATATTCAAAGCTTATTTTTTAAATATAATACATTATTTTATTAACTACATGATTTGTTTTTTAATGGTCAGTTAAGAATAATTGTAATTCTATATAAAGGGGCTTTAAAAGTTAGTGAAAAACTGGCATGAAAAGATAATGGGATTTTCCACAAACTCTTTGAAAGTCATATATATGTATACTTATATTTGGTAAACATATTTACCAAATCTGTGTGGTGAAACAGTGGATCAGTGAAAAAGAAGTCATTATCATAATGGTTGCAACAATTTGCTCGAGCATTGGAACAATTTTGAGGATAGTACATGTTTGGGCAGTGTTTCCTTCTGTTGTGTTTCATATCTATATGAAATAATCTAAAATTAGAATTCAAGATGAAGGTTTACAAAAATATTTTTAGTAAGGACAGACCTATAAATGATGTTTTTAAAAGCTTACTGATATCTATGAATAGAGTAGCATGATTCAATTCAAGAAGTACTTGTTTGATAGTTATTTTTATTTATGGTAACAATAGTAATAAATAAAACATTGAAAAGAAGCTTAAAGGAAGCCCTGCTTTTGAACACTGAGTATACCTTTATATTCAGAAAAATGTTATACTGAAAAATGTGACTACAAAAAATGGTATCTTTTAGAAAGTCTCATTTTAATAGGGCATAAAATAATTGGGCTTCCAAAGAATTAGAAATCTGACAGGACAAAGAGAAGGTCCTCTTTCATATTCCCCAGTCACAAAGACCGGGCGTGTGTGTCCTGAACGTCTCTCAAGTGTACCCTCTCCGTTCCTGGACCCTCTTCATCGTGGGTCGCCTTTTATGCAGTCGAGTGCCATCAAACTGACGCGAACTTACAGCTGTAATCGTTATGGGCACAGATGCCCATCCACGGGGCTTTTGACGCCACAGGGGACATCGGAGTCCCCAGCCATTAAAATACAGGCAGTCTCTGGATTACAAAGGATTTCCATTCCAAAATCTGTCTTTAAGTAGAATTCGCACTAAATTAGGTAAGGTCCAAACCTATTGTCAGTCAAATGTTTGTTTAAATATATAATATACAGTGAACTTGCCTATGAAAAAAAATAGATCTTAAAAAAATTTAGATACTTTAAATCACTTTCACATAATAATACCGTAATGATAATAATGCTTTGCTATGCTTCATAGTGTAGCACCCATTTGTTCTTATGAACGATGTTTTGTACCTCAACATTATAACATGATAGGATTGAGAGCATCTATAGGTTGCAGGCAAATTGAATATGTGTAACCCAATCAATTGTCTGTAATCCAGGGACTCCCTGCAGTAGCTGTGCAATAAACATTCTCTATATAATTTGATTTTCAAACAGTTTTCATGAATTTTAATTGACTTTTAGGGGAAAACAGCCCTACATTTCGTAGCGTTCCATTAAGGGCTTTCCCACTGAGGTCTGTTTCGGTCTGTCCACATTCACACACAGCCGCTCTTCTCCCCACATTTCACTCACACTTGAACACGTTGTCCTCGCTCCCAGCTGAAATGCCCTTCTCCATTTGTTTCTGTTTTGTTTTCACCAGGCTAGCCCTATTCTAACTTCTAACTCTAATATCACAGCTCTCACCTTTCCCTCTGAAAGATGTTGGGGTTTTGTTTTTTTTTTTGCCTCCATCAACTTTATCATAATCTTTTACCCAAATAACTGAACCACTCATACTGCCCAGTAATCAGCTATTTATATAGTTAATGACTATTTTTCATTCATCTTCAAACCTCAGCAGTATCACAGTGTTTAAGCATTAAAAACAAAACAAAACCTTCACAGTCACAGAGTCCATTCCGATTCATAGGGCCCCTACGGGACAGGGTAGGGCTATCCTGTAGTTCTGTGGGGTTCTGAGACCCTCACTGCTTATAGGGGTGGAAGGTCTCCTCCTTCACTCTCGGCACAGCTGGGTTTAAAACTGGCAACTCTGAGGTTCTCAAAGTGCATTAGCACTATGAAACCAGGGCTCAGTTTAGAACATAAGAGGATCTTGATAAATATGTGTTGAATGACTAGAGAAGGTATTTCAAATGGGATTTGGAGGGTTGTGGAGTAGTTACAAGCTAGGCTGCAATCCACATGGTTCTCAGTTCAAAACCGCCAGCAGCTCCACAGGAGAGAGGCTGGGCTTTCTATTTCTTGGCAGTTACAATCTCGAAAACCCACAGGGGGTCGCTATGAGTCAGCAATGGCTCGATGGCAGTGAGTGTGAATAGGAATTAAATTATAGTACAGTGGGTGGAGGTACAGAATTTAATGTGTAAGGACCAGAGGATGACATTTTATAAAGATTATTTCAACCACTAAGAAAAGAAGGCATGAACTAAATCAGGAGAGGAGACAGAAAACTTAGAAAGTTCTTACTATAAGTGAGGCAGAAGGAAAATACTAACAACTTGAATTAGAGAGATGGCAACATACAGGAAAAAGACTTATCAGAGATAGATCCTCTCCTTAGAGGTAAAAGCTTTCCAATTTACTTTATAGTTACTGTGTAGTTTCAGAAATAACATGTCCATGTAAATAATATGCACACTTACATAGCCTGTATAATATGCATAGGAAATTAACCTGCAAGGGGGTTGTAAAGTTTGCAAAAAGATATAGGGTGGGGGTTATGTATGTAAAATTAAAGCATTTCTTTGAATAAATTAATGAAATAAGGAAATTAAGAACTCTTCAATATCATCATTTATCTTTTATTTTTATTTTAACTTAGTGGCGAGATTTGCATTTGCATTGGATGCCAGGACCCAGCCCTTTAAATTTTGCCCAGAAAGGCGAAATTTCATTAAAAGTAAAAAACCCTTTTCAATTGCTATTGTCTTTCACGATCAAGCAAGTCGTATCTTACCTGGAACTATAAAATGCAAAATAGCCCGAAGTGCCTCCAGCTGCACTAATAACGATGTCTCATGACTTTTCATCACTGATATGATTTTGGGGACCACTGCTGTCATTGTGTCCAGGGAAGTATTGCTGAAGATATTTTAAAAAATCATGCTTATTAAAAGTACAGTCTGACTTGATTACACAAACCAAATAGAAAGAGGCTCGAGGAAAGTGAAATAACCAAATAATCAATAATCAGAGAAGGACATGTGTAAATGCATTTGAGTTCATTAATATAAGCATGTTTTTGTTGAGTGCAATCAAACCACTTCAACTCATAGTGACCCCATGTCCAATATGAGCATTCAAACTTTTAATTTTCTTAGATAAGGCTTTGACTTCAAGAAGTAAGGTTCATAGTAACCTGGAAATCCTCTTACTTTATTTCATAAAATGAACAACTTCTTTCTGATCTGTGTATTAGTCACTGACATCCACCCTGCTGGTAGATGACATTATTGTCATTTTTTGATGAACTAGTGGAGATTGGATATCAAGGCCCTATCACCAAGACATGGCAGAACCACAGTTGGCATTTTATAATACATAAAATGAGGCAAATTTGACATTGTCTGGGTAAATTACAAACCAAAAGGGCATATTATGAAAACACTACATGTAAAAGAAACATTAAATAGCATCGATTTTTCAGTGAAGGAGGATTTTGAATCCTGAATTAGCCAATAACTTGGGTCAACTCTTCCAGCTCTAAACTTGTGGTCCTTCCTCTATAAAGTAATAATAACAAGGCCACAAATGATAACTTAAAAATTTAAGAATTAAGTAAATTAATTTTATAGAGGGTTAGGATCATCCTGAGCACACAGTAAAGGCTCAATAAATCACACTCCAATCTCATGAACAAAAGCAATGGCATTTCAGTAACACCCATGAAGTACAGGGCTGTCTGTGATGAGATAAAATCTTCCACATACAAGGAAATCCCATCAACACAACTAGTAGTCCATTTTAAGCACCAACTTTCATAAGCTACAGATGTAAAAATTGAGGAAGTCTACCAATGTCTTTAGTCTGAAATCATAACACAATCAAGATGCATTGGTAATTATTGACTATTGGAATGTAAACATTGGAAATAAAAAGGAAGAAACAGTATTTGGAAAACTATGGTGTTGGTAATAGAAATGAAGATGGAGATTGCATGATAGAATTTTTCAAGACTAATGACTTCTTCAATCAAATATCTTTTCTCAACAACACAGTGACTCTACACATCGATTTTATCTCCAGATAAAATACACAGAAACCAAATTGACCACAATTGTGGGAAGAAACCATGAAGAAGCTCAATATCAGTAGCTAAAACCACGCCTGGGGCCAACTGTAACACAGCCTATCAATTACTCATATATAAGTTTGGGTTGATGCTGAAAAAAGTAACACATGTACACATAAGCCAAAATATCACCTTGAGTATATACCACCCACACATCTCAAGAAAAAAGTTGATGCATTAAACATTAATGATACAAGGCATGCTGAGCTATGGAAGGATATCGAGAACATTAGCCATGAAGAAATCAAAAGATAATAAAAAAGACAGGCAAGAAAGAAAAGCTCAAAGGGAATGTCAAAAGAGTCTCTAAAACCTGCTCTTAATATTTGAGTAGCTAGAGCAGATAGAAACATGATGAATTCAAAGAGTGAAACAGAATATTTCAAAGGGCAGCTTGAAAAGACAATGTAAAACATTATAATGCAATATGCAAAGGCAGAGTTAGAAAACCAAAAAGAACACACTCCGCATATCTTAACTGAAAGAATTCAAGGGGAAAAAATTCAAACCTTTAGTTGTAATATTGAAAGATTCTATGAGAAAAATATTAATTGATTCAGGAAGCATCAAAAGAAGGAGAAAAGAATGTCCAGAGTCCTTGTAAAAAGAACTAGCACATGTGCATATGTGCAACAACCCATGGTGCCGACGGCAGATGTCCAAACTGCACTGCAAGCACTGGCCAAAAAGAAGGCTCCAGGAATTGATGGAATACCCACTGAAATGTTTCCACACGCTGAAGAAGCATTGAAAGTACTCACTAGGCTATGCCAGGAAATTTGGAAGACAGGTGGTTGGCCAACTGATTGGAAAAGAGTCATAGTTGTACCCAAGAAAGATGGCCCAAGAGGATACTCAAATTACCAAGCAATATCATGGTATGACATGCAAGTCAAATTTTTCTGAAGATCATCCAACAGAAGTTGCAGTAGTATATTTACAGGAAGCTGCTGTAGTTTCAAGCCAGATTCAGAAAAGGACATGGAATAAGGGATAGCATTACGAACGTCAGGTGGATCTTGATTGAAAGCAGAGAACACCAGAAAGATACTTACTTCTGCTTTACTGACTATGCAAGACTTTTGTCTTTGTGGATAGCCTTGAGAAGAACGAGAATCCCAGATACTTAACTGTGCTCATGCACAACCTGTACATGGATCAAGAGACAGTTGGGCAAACCAAATAGCAGACTCCTGCATGATTTAGAATCAGGAAATGTGTTGTATCCTCTCATCATACTTATTCAATCTGTATGCTGAATAAGTCATAAATAAAGCTGGATTATATGGTGCAGAATGCAGTATCAGGATGGGAGGAAATCTTATTAGCAATTTGCCATATGCAGATGACACAACCTTGCTGAAAGTGAGGAGGATGTGAAGCACTTCCTGATAAACATCAAGGACTGTAGCCTTCAGCATGGATTACAATTGAGTGTAAAGAAAACCCAAACCCTCACACTGGACCAATAGGTGATGTCATGATAAATGGAGAAAAGACTGAAGTTGTTGGGATTTCATCTTGTTTAGATCCATAATCAATGCTTATGGAAGTAGCAAAGGGATCAAATAACACCTTGCTTTAGGTAAACCTTCTGCTCTTTAATGTGCTGAAAAGCAAGGATGTTACTTTGAGAAATAAAGTATGCTTGACCCAAGCCATGGTATTTTCAATCACCTTATATGGATGTGAAAGTTGGACACTGAATAAGGAAAACCAACGAAAGATCAACGCATTTGAACTATGGTGTTGGTGAAAAATATTGAAAGTACCATGAACTTCTAAAAGAACAAACGTCTGTCTTGGAAGAAGTACAGCTAGAATGCTCCCTGGAGACAAGATTGGTGAGCCTCTGTCTCATACTTGAGTCATGTTGTCAGGAGACCAGTCCCTAGAGAAATATATCATGCTCAGTAGAGCAGAAAGGCAGCAAAAAAGAGGGGCGCCCTGGATGGATTGACAAAGTGGCTACAAGAGTGGGCTCGAACAGCAGCAATTGGGAGGATGGCCCAGGGCAGGCCAGCATTTCATCCTGCGGTGCGTAGGGCTGCTGGGTCCGAACCAACTGCACAGAACCTAACAACAACAACAACAACTGATTTTGTAAGTTAGTCTTGATCTTTTACACAGATTGTTTTAAACCAGCATTTATGATCCTTGCACCTCTCTTCAGGCCCAGTAAAGAATCGGGACTATTGAGTTACTAACCAGCCATGTAATCTTAGCATTTCTGGATCTAGACTAGATGAGAGGAGGAGTTTACTCAGTGAGAGTGGAAGCAACAGAGACGGTAACACTTATTCAAATAAAGGAGTAGTAATAAAATTATATACTCATTGTGAGAAAAACAATAGTTAAAACGCTTAATCGACTAGATTTTATCTCTTCTTTTCTACCTTTCATAAATACTTAAAATGTAGCCAGCACCACACAGCAAGATCAAAAGTAAATCTTCCAAAAGATTTCTACAACTTCTGTGATTCCAGTCATGGCTCAGATTACTTAAGTATATGATACTGGCAACATAACATTATATTGTAAAATGTTTCTATCTTTAAATATTTATGCTTTTCTTTTCATTCTTTGAAATATTCTTGAAATAGCAATATTCTACTTAGTCCAATATTACATATTCTTCATAAGTTCATGAATTTATATTACCTTCCTTCAAAAAGATGATTTAGCATCTTACATCCACTTTCAGCCACTTCAGGAGAGTGTATATGCCTCTGCACTAATTCCAGTACATTCAAGTATATTCCTTTTGACAATAGGATTTTTCTGAAATTAACTATAAAATTTGTATTAGTGTTACAGAAATCAGAGCATAGTTACATAAGTTTATAATCACATGAGGAAGCTTAAAAGAGTCAAAATTCATAAAAGAGAATATACCAAAAATATATAATTTTAATTAATGATTAAAATTCATGTTTATTTCAAAACATGGCATTTTAGACTTTTATACATTTTGACGCTCTTGATGAAATTGTGGTTTACAATACTTAATTCAAAAAATGGCCTGGCTCTAATGTGATCATTACGATCCCATTCAAATCAAATGTTATTGAAATAATGAAAAAAAAATCTTTTAGATAATGGTCTGCAAAATAAGAGCTAAGTCTCCTCCTGATGTTTAAAGTAATTTCACAAAATAACTGTGCTTACATAGAATTATGATTCATCAAGTATGCTGGACATTAGAAAGCTAAGAATGAGCCACCATTCATTACTTCAACTGTTGATTGAGAAATGGGCGCAGCGGGTCCGATGGAGCCAGGGATGGCAACCAGCAATCCAACTGGGTTGTTTTAAGCTATGATCTTTTGGCCACAGAAGCCCTTTGAGCATCATAATTTCTATGCATGCTACCATGTCAAACAGGATTAAATGCACTAATATACAGCATAAAAAACTACATTTATTTTCACAGAGCATTATGAAAATAATTGTTAATGCTTAGGAAACACACTCGGCTTTACAACTGACTTTACATTCATTCTACTGGGATCTATAACTATATGCAGGCAGTAATGTTTATAAATCTTTATATAATAAACCCCCCTTCTCCAAATGTAAACACGTTGTCTTGAAATTTCCATGGAAATCATCTTGAAGCCTCTATGTAAATATGACTTCAACATTATACACTGGGGTTCAACATTTTCAAAGTAGTATTTTTAAAAGCTTAGAAATTGTCAACTTGCATGTTATTCTTAAATATGAAACATCAATTAATTAGGAAAAAAGAAAGGAGAGAAAACAGAAACAAACTGAAGCATATGCATACTATAAAATACTACCAATATTTTTAAAACTCTGCCAAAATGTGATCAAGATAGCAGAAGGTGCCTATCAGAAAGAATAGATTCTAAGGTCTTAAAGGCTTGTCTTAAAACAAGCAGCCATATATTTAAGGCTACAGCTAACTCCGAACAGAAGCACACCAACCTATGATCCAAGGATTGTAAGTAATAAACTCCAAATCCTGAGGAAGGAATGGTATTAGACCTTAAATTTTGAACGCTCCATTTGCAGAAGGCTGTGGATGACAGTGAAAGCCCAAAGGCCATTTGCAGGTTCCTCCATGTAGAGTAAGCCTCAGTGAATCCCTTCAGTCTACCGACCAGGGATGGGATAACCTTGTTAGGAGACAGTGTAGTTGTAGTTAGGTTGAAATGTGACACCTTGTCAGTCAATTTCCTTTTGATCCAATGTTCCAATTTTTATATGATCTGCCTTTTAAAAAATTGAGCTTCTTGTTTTATTCTGTCATTGTTAGGTTGTTTTTTGTTTGATTTTGTGTGTGTTTTCGGTAATGAAATCCGGAAAAGGGAAATCTATAGAGATAGCAGATGGATTAATAGTTTCCTAGGGGTATGATAGGAGAGATTGGTAGGAAATGAGGAACTAACAATGAGTACAAGGAAGAACAGTTGTCTCCATTTTTTGGATGGATTGTGGTGATGACTATATAACTCTTTTGAATATAATTGAATTATTGAAATGTATGATATGCAAATTATATGTCAATAAAAATAACTGCCAGTGCATACTTTTTAAAGATACCCAAAATATCACACATTAAAATATAAGCTGGATACTTTTCTTGATCATAGTCACAAGGTGTGATAACCCCTTTCAAAGTCACTAAATTTTAAACAGGGATTATTTAAAAGAGAGAAGCAATTCTAGGTCAGTGTCTTTCAAAATTTTTCTGTACTTCAGAATCATCTGGGAGGGCTTATTAATAAGAGAAAGATGGTTGGATCTTATTCTAGAGTTTGAAGTAGTGGTGCCACAAGGTCAGTAGCTCAAACATACCAGTTGCTTCACAAGAAAATGCCGAGGCTGTTGCTTCCATAAAGATTTAAGTATTGGAAATTCAAAGAGGCAGTACTAGTCTGGCCTATAACTCTGTATCCACTCAATGACAGTAAGCTTGGTTTGAGTTTTGGATCTCTAGCGTTTATAACCCAGTAAAACCCAAACCCACTGCCACTGAGCCAAATCCCACTCACAGTGACACTATATCAGGTTTCTGAGATTGCAAAACTTCACTGGAGCAGAGAATCTCATCTTTCTCCCAAGTAGCAATTTTTTTTTTTTTGCAGTCCAATTCTGACCTGACAGCATAACTAGGGACCCGTGTATGATTCAATAGGGCCCCAGAATTTATCATCTCAATAAGTTCCCAAGTATGAAGACCATATTTAAGAAACACTGTCCTAGATATACATGAACTGGACAACCAACACAGTGTTCAAGAAAACAGTGATTGCGATTTGAGAACAGAGAATTCAAATTTCACCAGACATTAAGTCTTAGAAAAGACATTATATAATTGAGTCACTTCAGAGTTGACAGAACATTTTACACATGCTATTTCAGAGTAATTGTGGTAGTTATATAATCTGTTGTCAATTTGAGAGGACTACGATTGAAGGGGTGGAGTCCTGCCTATCAATCATTGTATAGCCAATGAGGCCTCTGTGTGGCCATGACCTTCCCCTGAGGATTCTGGAAATTCCTGTGTTTTCTTTCCTGGAGGTGGGAGACATTCTCTCTCTCTGCTCACTCCATGAGAGAAGCTCTACTGACAAGACACATGGCACTTTGCTGATAGACCCCCGTGCCCTGGGAACTGGAGAAGCCATGTGGAGACCCCTGCCAGCGCTGAGATGCTTACGATGCCACTGGATCCACAAGACTTCCAACCCACTGGTCTGTGATCTTCTGCATGTGTTTTGTGAGTCTGAAGAGGACTTTACAGATCGGTATTGGACATATGGGCTAATATGAGACTTGTGGACTTGACCTGGACTAGACTGGGATGTTTTCTCAACATTCAATTGCTCTTGTATATAAACCTTTTTCTTATACACATATGCGTGTTTATGAACTTATTTCTCTAATCTGCCCAGAGTAACACAGTAATACAAACTTTTCACATAATAATCCAGACTTTAGCCACTTATTTGAGTGATGCAGAATATGCTTTCAAAGGTCAATAACAACAAACAACTCTTTCAGGTCTTGACTCAATAGTCACTTTCTCAGTGATATTTTTCTGGCTGCTTGGTCACAATTTTATCTCCTTAGATTCCTAAGCTTTTATATTCTCCTGTTTTATCTATTTTTATCTTAACTGTCTAATAGACTATATATAGTATGTCCTTAACTACTTAATAGACAATATATAACTATCTAATAGACTTTTCCCACCAGAGTTTAAGCTCCAAGAAACAGGAAATTTTATCTCTTTTGTTAACTGATATATCCCAAGTCGGACACATAGATGAAGCTCATTAGGTATTAACGGAGTGAATAAATTTAATCAAATGAGGAAAATGTAACACAAAATGTTTGCGATTTCACCCTGAAGCCACCAGGCTGTGCACAGCTTTCCTAGCAGCAAATTCACCCTTTCTTTTATTTATTGTCCAGACCCAGCTGTGCATAACTAATGTCCCCAAAAGTCTTTCCGTGAAAAGTTGCCCATAGAGGTTGCTCAAGTTCTTAGTACTTTCTTAGGGTACACCTCCAAAGGCAATATAAAGAGATCTGAGCACAGTTTATGTAACTGTTGGCCAAAACCCAAGAAGTAAGGAACCAGAGAAAGTGGAGAACTGATTTTGAACAAAGAAATCAAAGTTGACTCCAAACCCAATTAATTCTGACACTGTATGAAGCAGTCCTGATCTATCAAGAAATGCAGTGCCCACGCAGCATTGTTTGTACACAGTATTTATATCCTCTTTAAGGTGCTCCACACAAAAGTAGCCAAACCCAGCCTCATTACCAGGAGTGAGATTTCCACACACAGCTCTGTCTACCTGCAGGGCATGTCTGTCACTCGGTGATCTTTCATTACACGGCCATCAGAAAGGTGATATGAGAAAGGAGAGAGAGGACTGTTTTCTTCATTCCTTTCACTCTACTTAGATTTTCTAGTAAAGGTTGGTACAAACACTGGTCTGAAGCTTTCAGCAGTTTTCTCTATCTTCCCTCCCTCTAAAAATATCCTGCAAGAGTTGCCAAGTCCCGATGCCTTTATAATGAGTTCTCTCCCAAGGCTTTTCAACAGCATTTCCTGTTTATGAGAACAGGAATTTGAACTGCCTGAACATCAATCTTAAACCTCAGGAATCCTTCCAACAGGGTCTGAGCCACTTCCACCCCCCTTACAATGAAGCACAGCTAATCACCAGGCATATAAAACATACAAGAAAAGGATCATTGAAAGAAAAATATAGCAACATAAAAATTTTTATAATGAACCAATTTTACCAAATCTTAATTTGGTATCTATCTCTCCACCCAGACAGTTGCATTATGTTAAGGTTTTCTTAAGAAAGGAACCATTTATAACAGTTAAACACTAACATCAATCAATAAATAAAGCAAACATCGGGCATTTACTACAGGTTGAAAAACAAACAGGCCAAAGGAAAAGCTAAAACTCCAACAACCACAAACTGGTTCATGAGTAGGATATATGCATATTAAGAAAAATACACAATCCTTGCAAGGGATGCTATAAAAAATCTACATGTATTTAAAAATGAAAAATATTGTTATAAAAGAATATAATTCCATTTGTACAAAAATATACTGTATATGTCAGTAAATGAGTGTGTAGATATCAGGAAGAATATATATTAAAATATTTGTTTTTTCATTATTTTTAATATATTTATCATAACAGATCTATATCTATGTATCTAAATTGTTACACCAAATTAGTTTTATAATAAAAATAACCGCAAAATACTTTTCCTTTTATTAAATGTAGAATGCCTCCCTTACCATTTTGTTCTAACAGAGTTGACAGTGCATTTGCAGATGCCTGGAAGACTTCTTTTGAAGAAGTGTGCATCAGCATGGACAGCATCACTTCCCTATGAGCTGGGAATCTTTCAAAAATTCAGCAACAATATTGACAGTTAACTTTTTAATACTTTGCTCAAATACTCAATATTATACAATCTCTAACAACAAAAAATTGCATATCTAGAATACGTCCAGTTACTAGAGTGAATTTTAGTGAAGTCATTTTCAATTTAAAAGTTAGGTGCGAATCCATTAAATACTAATGTAATTTGCATTTACATGTTTTTAACCAAAGTTAATAAGCAGTAGAGAAAAAGAAATCTCAGCAACTATAAAAAGAGTTCCAGGAAGGAAAAAGGTGAAGTGAGAGGAAGAAGATACTGGACGATAGATAGAAATAGAACATTTGTAGGTGACTAAAGAAAAGCAAAAAAGTTAAATAGAGAGGTCACTCAGGTTTAAAACCCTCTTAAAGGGTCTTGAAGGCCTGTAACATACATTTTTTTCTTCTAATAGTAGATATAGTTTATAAATCTATTACTATTAAAGTTAAATACTATAAACTGAAATTTATAAGCTACAGCATGAATCTCACTTGTTTCTTCATTTCTCCTAACATGGAATCATTAGAATAGTGCCTCAACATACAAGTTTCTAAAGACTTACTCTTTCTTTTCAAAATGAAGTTGTTTAATTAAATATCACTTGTTTAGTTGATTCCTTTTTTTTACTGAAAGATTGCATAAGGAAACTATGCAAATAAGCTATCAAGATTTGAGATAGAGAATTTTATTATTTAAGTTTCTGAGGTGAATCATTCCCATTTTAAAAAAAGCACAGAAGTTAACAGATCAAATAGCACCTCTAGGAGTATAAGGAGTGGGCAAGAGTATAGGCCCCAAGTCTCCTGGGCATACAACATGGACTAATTCTCCTCCACAGGCTACTCCTTTTACAGCGGTCCTCGAGGAGAAAGGGTTTGCATGATGTTTGAAAGGAAGCTGCTGTTGAAAGCCTCCTCAAGAGCTGATGGCTTCAAATAGCTCTCTCACTAGAAGATGGGTCAAAATGGCCACATCAGGTGGGGGACCGCTCTAGGAGGCTTCCTAACCAAATCTAATTTCTGATACGGACAACCAGCTGGCGAGTCACAGCGGTAGACAAGGTCACAGATGGCGCTGCAATGCCTGTCACCTGAGACAAATTATGAAAGCATTTTCTAAATGATCAGTCAGAAAAGTGGAAAATATTCCTCCACGATTCATAAATTACTGAATTTTGCTTGATTCCAAATCTTTCAGGACCACTCTCCAACAGAACACCTCTTTTCTGCCTATCAAAGATAAGGAAATGCAAAAATTATGTATCAACGGATTTGTGATAGCATTACTAGTATCAAAGATGACATCAGAAATATCCCCCCACAATAAAAATTGTAGCTAAAATATGTCATATGTATGAATCAGAAGTGAAACTAACAACTTTTATCATATAAAATAAAAACTACTGACTGGCCGTCTTCATCTCCGACCTTCTCCTGCAATCTGCTTTGGTACAAGAGGAGATTATTGAGTGCCCAGCATGCGGCCTCCTAGATTAGAAGAGGAAAAATAAGAAATCTGCAGAACCATGCATTTTTTGTACACACATAATATTGAATCACTACAGACTTTACAAAACAGACTGACCTGCACATGTTTGTTCTTTCTATGCCAAATTAAGGCTTTGTAACAGGCTTCCAGCCAAAACAACTTTTCCTCTTCCTCTTCAGCATCATTCCCTGGATTATCATTCTTTTCCTCTAAGTCTTGATTTAAGAAAATGGTCTCAGCTTGAAAATATACAGACATAGTTTAATTAGTTTGAATGAGGAGCTCTAAGTTTCTATGCTTGAAATGTTATCAGTAGTGAGTTGTTCATTGGTAGAGCCTAACGGAAAATTACAAAGTAATTTCTAATGTATTTTTCAACCAAATGACTTATGATGACCCCCAGGTGTGATAGAAGGGTTCTCAGGGACCTAATTTTGGAAGTAGACTGCCAGGCTTTTTGGAGAACTTGAAAGTCCTGCCTTTAAACATGTATAGCTGAGTAGGCTAACCGCTTTTATCACCCAGAGACCCCACGAACACATTACACACCGCATAGCAGTGTCAATATTGTCACTATATCCAGATAAATGAGACTGAGGAAGAGGGTACCAAGCAAAATTAATAAGCTAGAGAATTTACTGAAATGATCAACCCCTTAATAATATGCTAACTCAAGGACCTAAAGCAAAATCCTATATGACAAAGATATACATGCTTGTCACAAGTGTTAGCTTCCTTGGAAATGATTTGGGAAAAGAATCATATTGGGATATTACAACAAGTTACATTGCTTTATCTAACTATGATTTTTTGTGATAATATAATAAATGTCAAAATCAATTTCACCTATAAAAATAGTCTCCTTCATTGGACAGTGTAAGACATGAAAAATAATAATAATTTATAAATTGTCAAGGGCAGGGAGGGAGTGTGGGAGAGGGAGGGAAAAAATGAGGAGCTGATACCAAGGGCTCAAGTAGAAAGAAAATATTTTGAGAGTGATGATGGCAACAAATGTGCTTGATACAATGGATGGATGTATGGATTGTGATAAGAGTTGTAAGAGCCCCCAATAAAATGATTTTAAAACAAAATAGTCTCCTTGGGAAAGTTACTTACTGAGGAGGGCCAAACAGCTGAGTGCCGAGATCTGTAACGTTGCATTCCTTGAATAGTGTTGCACAGCCTTTACCACATACTCATGGACCTCATTCAAGACCAGAATATTAAAAAAATTACCTAAAAGTTAAATAATGTATTAGATGATTCCTCCTCCAGGGAACTTATATCACCTTTAAGTGTGTAATTTAACTTTAAGTAAGTATATTACCTTTAAGTATGTAACTGCATACTTTGCTGGCATTAAAACCATCATTTTAAGTTAAATAGCTTAGCATGCTGAAGTTAATTTATAAAATTTACTTAATGTATCATTTAATTATCTTACACATACAACGAGAGAGACTGAACCAAAATAATGACACAAATTTGGATGATCTTAACTTGGGGGTGTCTGACTCCCTCTCAAGTTGTCATTATGCAAACATAATGAAGTGTCTATTACACATAGTCCCCCAAGATTCTCTGTGCAAAATAAAAGCCTTCCTGCCCTATAGGACATGGAAATCTTTAAAACGCTGCCTACCTGTTAAATCCTTTGACTGAAACGCTCTTCTTTCCCTTAAAGGAATTCTTCTCAGAAAACTAATCAGAACCTTTACCATTATTTGATCATGTATTGATGATATTGCATCAATTCCTGAAGATTTGGTGGCATAATGAATTATATATTGAACTGCTAACATCAAGGTCAGTAGTTCAAAACTACCAACCACTTTGAGGGAGAGAGATGAGGGTTTCTACTCCGGTGAAGATGTACAGCCACAGAAACCCCCAGGGGCATTTCTTCACTGGTCTTCAGGGCCACTATGAGCTAAAGTCAACTTGATGGCATTGAGTATTATTTTGATAATGCCTTCAGTGCAGCTTACACTTCTTTTTGCACCATGAGTTCTTGACCATATGCTACCTCATGAAATTACTGAATGGGGACCTGTTCTATTAGGTACAGTGACACTTGTGTATTCCCTCCATCATCTTTTGATGCTTACAGTATGGTTCAATATTTTGCCTATAAGATCTTTCAACATTGCAATTTGAGATTTGAATTTTTCCTCATTTCTCTCAAGCTGATATATGTCGAGTGGGCTTTTCCTTTTTGGTTTTCTAACTATGTCATTGCACATTTCGTTATAATACTTGACTTCGTATTCTGAGATGCCCATTGACATTTTCTGACTTGATGTTTAACTCTGTCACTTCTTCCATTTGGTTTAGCTACCTTACATTCAAGAGCGAGTTCAAGAGTCTCTATATTGTTCTATATCCCACATAATAAAATATTATATTGTAATGAAGTAAAATTACTTGGCATGGCTCTTCCATTCATGGTTTTTGTAACTCCCATCCAGTGGCTTGGTAGACACATGAGAAGAAAGTATAGAAAACTCGGGGATTGGTCAGTTTTGCATTCATATTGGCTATGAGAAAGTCTTCTCAGCAGCAGGTACAGGAGGTTCCATAACCATCACAAAAGAAGAGCCATCAACCAAGTGCGTGAGAGATGCCTGCCTCAAGTGGCAGAGGCAGCAGATCCACCACAGGCCACCATTCCAAGACCATGAGACAGTGTAGAGGAGCTGAGTGGAGACCTGGAGACAGAGCAGTAGGCTCCTTGCTCAACATAATATGGCAGAGGCTAAGGAATTGCATAGCTGAGAAGCTGAAGACGAAAGAGACATGGTTGTTGACACGGTTAAGAAGTGCCTTGCTCTGAAGACAAAGCGGGTGAATAAGCAAATGTGGTGAAGAAAGCTGATGGTGCCCGGCTATCAAAAGATATAGCGTCTGGGGTCTTAAAAGCTT